ACGGCAATGTGGCAGACTCACTACTGACACTAAACTTGGCAACCTTATCTGCATCAGTTTACCTTGTGACCAGTAAGATTATCCAGGTTGTTTTTTCAAACACTTACTAAATAATACATCCTCCATTTTGAACTCAGGCAGCTGGTTTTTGAAGCCGGATTTACAGGTTGTCACATTTAGCCACCTGAGAGATCTTTTGGAATCCTGATAGTATCTGAAGGCATCCAGAATGACCTCCAGTATTACTGTCTATATATTTGAGAAGCATCTGAATCCTTGACTACAACTTGTAAAAATGGTTAACGCAAGACATTCCGAGGAAAGGAAGTAACATTTCCCTATTAGATATTATGAAGGTGCACTAATTTAGCTTCCATACCTTGCTTGTCTTTATTATGGACCAAAGATTTTTTTCGCAGTTGAAAATCCAAGCAGTCCCTCATCTACCTGCCTGGTAACCATTAACATGAGGATATCACTTCAGAATAAAATCTTGGTAAAACTTAACATTATTCCAGCCTGCACCTTGGAGGAGGTGATGACTGGGAAGGGAAATGACTTGAAGAGAGAAGAGGAAATTAGGACACAGGATAAACGTTTCAACTTGAGTCCTCAGACTTCCCTAAGGGTAACTGCTTCTCCTCTGCCCTTTAGCCTAGAGCAGGCCGGTGTGGCAGATCTGATGCAGCAGGCTTTAGAGGTTCACCTTGAACTTGTCAAGCAAACCCATGCAGTAAAATGAGCTGCTCCAAACGTAGGCATGAACCAGGAAGGGGAACGGAAAGCCATTAAACTGCTCCACTGCCGCAGAGATGCGACAGGTCAACAACGCCTCCCACTCGGAAAGCCAAGATGGCCGGGCGAAGTCGGGTGCAGCTAGCTTGGGCGCCGCTCCCCACGCCCCGGGCCTTCCCAGGGGAAATCAGGGGCCTCGTCGCGCCCCTCCCGCACGTCACCGATTTACGTAATCCCGCTCGCCCACAAACGTGCCGCAGGGCGCTGGCCCCACCCCCAGCTCCGCCCCTGCAAAGCGGGGCGGCCGCGCTAGGCGCAAAGCCTGCTGGGAAAGGCTCGTCCCGGCAGCCCCTGCGGCGGGCGTGGTGTGTAAGGAGGTGGCCGGCGACGGCCGTTCTCCGTAAGATGGCGGACCGGCGGCGGCAGCGCGCATCGCAGGACACGGAGGACGAGGAATCTGGCGCTTCAGGCTCCGACAGCGGCGGTTCCCCGGCTCGGGGCGGTGCGAGCTGCAGCGGTAGCGCTGGAGGCGGTGGCAGCGGTTCTCTGCCTTCTCAGCGCGGAGGCCGGGCCGGGGCCCTTCATCTGCGGCGGGTGGAGAGCGGGGGCGCCAAGAGCGCCGAGGAGTCCGAGTGTGTGAGTTCGCGCAGCGGGATGGGCGGGGGTCGGGGTGGTGACGACGGCTGGCTGCTGAGTTGCTGGTTGCTGCTGGGCCATATTGTGTGCGAGCGGAGAGGTGCGGTTGCACCCGGAACCCCAAGGGAAGAGAGGAGGCTGGGGCTTTCGGGGAGGGGGGGAGGGCAGAGACTGCGTACGGAAAGCGGATGTCTGTTGGGAAATTAGGGCTGGGGGTGAAGAGACCGATCCTCTCACGGATGCCGCTTGTTAAGATATACTTTTCCTCCTCACCCATTCAACCATTTTCTGTTAAGTCCTCAGCTCTCCACCCGGTGGAATCACAGAACTAACCCATGTTTTCTCGTTTCTCTCAGGAGAGTGAAGATGGTATCGAGGGCGATGGTGAGTAGCATCATGACAAGAGGGTTTTTTGGTCCATAAACAGGTCACCTATTTCTAGCGGTTGACTTCCTTTCAGGCTGTGTTAGGCATTTGGGGGAGGGTGCCCGAAGAGGCTCTCTGTAGCATAGTAATGATGCGTTCGTTTTAGTTGAAGGGTCCTGGGCTAGTCGGTTTGCCATCTGCAAGCGCAGAGAGTCATCTTACGTACCTCATAGGTTAAGATTCTCATGAATCTTAACCTGACACAAAATAAGCCGACTAGTGATGGAACTATAATTCCTGTTGCATTGTTTTCTTTACTTCTTTTTTTTTTTTTTCCCCAGCTGTTCTCTCGGATTATGAAAGCGCAGAAGACTCAGAAGTGAGTGTAATAGGTTCTTTTTCCTGTGCTTTGGAAAATGTGTTTCAGATACCTGTACATAACCTGTGGTTCACAAGTTTACCTCTGTTGTGTGTTCTTCATTCGTGCTTCTGAAAAATTGTTATGAAAGGTCTTTTGCTAGAGTGAAGAAAACTTGGGCCACATGCATTACACTAGTAGTTGTTGGCTTTTTACTATCTGAAGAAATTAGTCCTCTTTTTTTTTTTTTTTTTTAAATAAAGCTCTAAGTAAGAGAACACGACCCTCCGAAGCCCTTCAGGATGTTTGAAATCCTGTGCTACCTAAGTAGTGAAGGCAGCCAGTTGGAGATTTGTTTCCCATTGTATCTGAAGCCCTGAGAGTGCAGGATTCTGAATCATTCCCTAAGGATTTTCTAGATGAGGTTTTCTCTCTGTTCAGCAGCAAGTTTCCATAAGCCACGCTTTTGTGAGCTTGTTTGATTTGATTAGGTAAGCTATTAGAGATGCTATCAGAATGGCTATTTGCTGGGGTGGTTGAATAGAATTTTGAATGGGTTATATGCAAGAGGGATTCTGTTCAGATCAAAGAATACCCATTTTATATGACTTGCTACATTTGAATTTTTTCATTAAGCTCTGGAGATTTAACAGTGAGCACCTCTAGGGAGCTTACAGCATAGAAAGTCAGACATTCAGCCTTTGGGTTTGGCAAAAACTGCTGTTTTAGGTAGAAGGAACAGGCACAAAAAGCCCAAAGGTGGGAGAGATTGAATATTTGGAAACTTCAAAGTGGTTTGGTGTGGTTGGAATACCAAAAATGCAGTCAGATTAGTGAATAGAAGCCAGATCATGAAATGTTTTGTTTCTTCCTTCTTTTTAAGGATCTGCTCTGTGCTCCAAGAGCTGTACTAGACACTGGCTTAAGACAGGCATGTTCTGCCCATGGGGGATTTACTTGCTGGGGGGGAGGGGGCAGCTAAGCAAATAATTCAGTATGATTTGCTAACTGTCAAGCATCAGCTGCTTTGAGAGCACAGAGCAGAGGCAGCTAACTAGGTTTAAGGTATTTAGGAACTCCTAGAGGATGGGATATTAAACTAGAGGCCTGAAAAAGCTGAGTAGGAGTTAACCAGGCAGAGTTTTCAAGTGTTTGTGTTTAACTAACGGAATTGAAAAAGCCTTGTTTTAAACAAGAGTGTGATTTGATTAGACTTAAATTTTAAAGCAGTGTTGGTCAGTTCCAAGGACTACTTACGTCAAAAATCTGGTCAGTTATTTCTTACTGAAACAGGATATTAAGGCTATTGTGGAGGCCTAGGCAAGCTGTCAGTCATTCTAGGCTCAGAATGGACTTATGGAAGTAAAATAGAAGTGAAGAGAATTGAAATTTTTTAGGGTATAGAATCCACAGAATATGGTGATTGATGAGATGCTTGACTTTCTTTCTCTGAAGTTAGTAATGGGAATGCAAAGAGTAATGGGAGAGAAGTTTTGGGGTGAGTATACTTGTAGTTAGCAGAGCCTGGAAATACACAAACACGGTATGGCATATTCACTGAGGTTTTTTTGAGTGTGAATTTATAGCAACACATCGTCTGTCTGTGAATGAGTGTGGATGTTACTCTAATAGCAAATAAAGAAAGGCCACCGGAGGCTTAAGAGCAGAGGATGAATAATGGATAAGGCAAGACTGGGGGCTGGGAGCTGATCCACATGGCGCAGCAGACCTCTCCTGTCCCACTCACTGCTTCCCCTCAACAGTGTATTTCAGTCGATCTGCCTGTTCTGTTACCTACTCTGTCTCTGGTGAATTCTCTCACCCCTGCACCTCTGGCTACACCCCAGTTCTTATATGCATAAAAAAATATAAATCTTTTAAAAAAAACATCTAGAGCCCTCCCTGGTGGCACAGCGTGTTAAAACACAGCACTAAGAAGCTAAAGCCACTTCATCATGAGTTTGATCCCCATCTGCCCCCGAGGTGACCACAAGGCGCAGCAGACCTCTCCTGACCTGCCCGCTGCTCCCCTCAGCAGTGTACTTCGTCGTTCTGCCTGTTCTGCTCCCCACTCTGTCTCTGGTGAATCTTCTTGCCGCCCCTGTGCCTCTGGCCTGTACCCCAGCTCTGTATGCATAAATAAATCAATAAATGTAAATTAATAAATTAAAAATAAAACAGCTAAACTTCAGTTTCTTAGTTGCAGTAACCATACTTCAGGTACTTGGTAGCCTCATGTGGCTAGTGGCTGCTATATTGGGCAGCACAGATAAAACATTGTCACCATCCCAGAAAGTGCTGTGCTATCTTGACAGCAGTGATCTGGCTAAGAGGAAAAAATTGGATATCTGCCATTTGTCCAGTTCTGTACTTCTTTGCATTACTTTTTGGTTACTACCTATATATTCCTAGATGTTAACATTTAGTTTTGCTTATTTCTTAAAATTTGATCTCTTAGTCTACAAGTTAGTTTTTCCTTCCTTTTCCTTAGTTTATCTGTTGAAAAAATTTTGAAGATGGCTCACTCATGGAACATGTTCCCTCTTATCTTTTGTGTTTCCTGCAAGCTGGTATTTCCAAGTCCATGGGAAGATTATGGGAGCAAAAAATTTTTATCTTGAACAAAACTGATCACTTAGCTTTCTTCTGCTTATAAGTCACTAGCACTTATTTCTTCATGTTAGAGTTTATCCTGGTCTTGGTTATTCTGGTCATTGTTTACAGGTGTGAAGTGTGCTCTGTAATATGTCATGGAATTCTTACTACCCAAAATATTCTTTGCTTTACTGTTTTACTCCTCACGTCTAATTTTTTTTTTTTTTAAGATTTATTTATGCATACAGAACTGAGGTACAGGCCAGAGATGCAGGGGCGGTGAGGGGATTCACCAGAGACAGAGTGGGGAGCAGAACCGGCAGATTGAAGAACTACACTGCTGAGAGAAGCAGTGGGGAGACAGGAGAGGTGTGACACACCATGTGGGTCATCTTCCCGGCTGGGGATCAAACTTGTGCTGCAGTGGCTGCGGATAGCTTCTTAGTGCTGTGTCTTAACCTGTTGCACCACCAGGGTTGCGCCCAGGTTTTTTTGTTTTTGTTTTCTTTTAAGATTTTATTTATTCATACAGAACTGGGGTACAGGCCAGAGGTGCAGGGGCATTGAGAGACTTAACCAAAAACAGAGTGGGGAGCAGAACAGGCCGACTGACAAGTACACTGCTGAGGGGAGCAGCGGGCGGGTCAGGAGAGGTCTGCAGCACCATGTGGGTCACCTCTGGGGTGGCGATCAAACTTGACTGAAGCAGTTACTGCTAGCTTGCAGTGCTGCATCCTAACCATTTGCACCATGAGGGAGGGCCCAGGTTTTTTTTTTTTTTTTTTTAAAGATTTATTTATTTGTGCATACAGAACTGGGGTACAGGCCAGAGGCTCAGGGGCGGCGACAGGCTTCACCAGAGACAGAGTGGGGAGCAGAACAGGCAGATCGATGAAGTACACTGCTGAGGGGAGCAGCGGGCGGGTCAGGAGAGGTCTGCCACGCCATGTGGTCACCTCTGGGGCAGGCGGAAATCGAACTCATGCGGAAGCGGCTTTAGATTCTCAGTGCTGGGCTTTAACCCGCTGCGCCACCAGGGAGGGCCCCAGGTTTGTTTTTTTAATTGGTGAATAGAGTATGATCAAAATAAAGGGTTGTGTATAAAAGGAAATGAAAGGGATTAATGGTTAATTAATGCATTATTGGTATCTTTGAGTATGTGAGAAGTGGGAATCAAACAAGGAATCATTTTTTCTGTAAAAGTTGGAAAGAAAAGGTATATGGGGAAGAAGCTGATACTGCCTTTGTGAAAAACAAGTAAAGATCTTGGGGGAAGGGAGCAGTTGGTAGAGAGAAAGGGTAGGACTTGTGAATCTAACGTATATTAAAATAGTTGAGGTTGCAAGTGGCACTGATGTGTACGGTTGTAGGATTTTGTGTGCAGGTGGTGTGTGTGTGTGTGTGTGTGTGTGTGTGTGTGTGTGAGCTGTGGGGGGTGTGTGTGTGTGTAAGAAAGAACTGAGGTGTAGGCCAGGCAGATTTACTGAAATACACTGCTGAGGGGAACAGAGGGATGAGGAGATTCACCAGAGGCAGAATGGGAGTAGAAGAGGCAGCTTTACTGAAATACATTGCTAAGGGGAACAGAGGTGAGACAGGAGAGGTCTGCTGTGCCATATTTGGGTTCACTCCCTGGCTGGGATCAAACTCAAGCTACAGCAATGATAGTGTTGAGACTTAACCCCTAAGCTACCCCAGTCCCTGGATTTGCTTAATTTTTAATTCCCTGCAAGGGTGACTAGTCTAGCTGTGAACCTAGAGAAAGCAGACATTTAAATTGATCCACTCCCAGGCAAATGGGGGATAGCAAAGGAATTGAGGGTATTGCTATTAGTGATTGAAATGAAGGGGTTAAGGCATCTAGAGAGAAGAAAGTGAATGTGGGAAAGGACTGACTGATCATGAGAAGATACAAAGTCAGAGGCATGTAAAATCTTAAGAGATGAAGAGGTAAAGGAATAACTGAGAATGGACAGGAATAATAGACACAGGGTTTTAAAGCAGATTTATTGAGATGTAATTTTCATACCATACAATTCATCCATTTAAAGTATACAATTCTCTGGTTTTTATATATCCACATTATGTACATCCATTACCACAGTTGTTTCCAGAACATTTTCATCACTTCAAAAAACAAAAACCCTATCCCCATCCTCCACAGTTCCTTTGTCCTTATCCCCATGGCCCTATGCAGCCACAAGACTGCTTTCTGTATCTGGAGATTTTCCTAGTCTGCGTTTTCATGTGAGTGGGTCATAATTGATAGATTCTGTGGTTGACTTCTTCTATTTAGAATGTTAGCAGCTTAAGTGGTAGCATGTGTCAATACTCTTTGTGGTTGAATATATTACATCATGCAGTTATACAGTCATGTATCACTTAGTGGCCTTTTGCTGAACTATGGTCTCCACATTGATGGTGGTGGTCCCAGTAGGCTGTCCCAGTTGTGTGATTACACTTTGATGTTTGCAAGGTGAAATCACCTGACATACCATTTTCAAAATGTATCCACATCATTAATGTATCCACATCAGTGACACGTGACAGTGCTGCTATTTTCCTTACTCATTTATTCATTGAGGAACATTTGGATTTTCTGTTATGCGGAATATTGTCATAAACATTAGTGTGTAATTTTTTTGTGGATATACATCCTAGAAATATTTCCGAGTCATATGGTAACTGTAATTGAGGAACTGCCAAACTTTCCCAAAGAGACTGCACCATGTCACATACCCAGCAGTGGCATATGGGAATTCCAGTTTCTCCAAGGCACTTGTTACAGTCTTGATTTGTTAATTCTTGTCATTTTAGTACATGTGAAATTTTTATTATTTTTATTTTTATTTAAGATTTATTTATTTGTGCATACGGAGCTGGTATACAGGCCAGAGGTGCAGGGGCGGTGAGAGGATTCACCAGAGACAGAGTGGGGAGCAGAACAGGCAGATCGACAAAGTACACTGCTGAGGGGAGCAGCGGGCGGGTCTGGAGAGGTCTGCTGCACATGTGGGCCACCTCTGGGGCTGGGGATCAAACTTATGCTGAAGTGGTTTTAGCTTCTTAGTGCTGTGCTTTAACTCGTTGTGCCGCCAGGGTGGGCCTGGTTTGTATTTTTTTAATGACTAGTGGTTTTTGAGCATTTTCTATTTGTGTATATTCCTTGGAGAAGTAACTGTTCTAAGAAACCTTTGCTAAATCTGTACCAATCAGAAATGTGAGGATTAACCCCTACATTTTATTTTTAAGAGTTTTATGGTTTTTGCACTTGAAGTCTTTGATCATTTTGAGCTATCTTCTGTTTTATTTATTGTAAAAGATTTTTAAGTATTTAATGCATACAAGAGGTATGGGGGTGTGGGTGTGAGAGAATTCACCAGAGACAGAGCAGGGAACAGAGCAGGCTATAATACATTGCTGAGGGGAGCAGAAGGCAAGAAGGAGAGGTTTCCTGCGCCATGTGGGTCATCTTTCTGGTGGGGGGGATCAATCTCACACTGAAGCATCCACCTAACCCATTGTGCCACCAGGGAGGGCCTATAAATAAGTAAATCTTAAAAAAAAAAAAAATTCTGCATGAAAGTAATGCCAGAGAAGCAGTTGCCTCAGGAGAGAACTAGGCTTTAGAGTTGGCAGTGTGCTTACTGAAGTGGTGGGATCTGTAGTAAGGGAGTTTGTCTCTATTAAGGTTTTTGATGCCAGCCCTTGGCCACAGCAGCTTGACCCTAGGATAGCATCTTGACTTCACTTAAACCAGACCTTGGTTCTAATTTGGAATCTCCTCAGCTCTGTGCTGTTTGTATCTCTCTGTCCTGCCCTGGAAACAAAATTAGTTTCTCCTTTGGAATAGAAGAATTGCCTCATTTCACATTCATCCACAGTGGAGCATAAAAACAAAGTTCCCTGGTTAATCATGCCGATACTATTTTAAGATGTTTGAATGCAGTGTTGTGTGTGTGTGGGAAGGGACAGGGGGAGGTGTCATGAATTAAGGTCGCATGTACACACCAAGCAAGATTCTTGCAGTTTCTGCTTCAGAGCCTGCAGGGTTCTGAAGGAAAGAACTGGGTGATCACCACCCACCCATCTCCATCTCACAAGGAATGAAAACTTGTGATTGAGGATAAATGGGAGGAATCAAGCACAAAGCGTAGTGTGTTTGGAAGCAGGTGGTAAGGTCTTGATTTTCACAGTGTGGGTATGATCAAGCAGTTGCCCTCAGTTCTGTGGTTCTCACCCCAGTATCACCTTTTGCGAGTCATAGCCCAAAACACTTGGTCGCTGGATTTTCTAGATGCTGAGCGGGAAAGAGCATGTGGAAAAGGAAGGAGTCGGCTTGACTGGACCAATGAAACCAACTCAGCTTTACTTGAAGAAAGGGCAGAGACTTAAAGCTTTAGTTTCTTGCTTCATCACAGTAATTCACAGAGAAACTCAAGTGATTCTCTGCCAGTGTGGGCAGGCAAGTTAAAGGGAATTACTATTCTAGAGCCCGTCTTAGAATGAACCTAAACCATGCCTTTCAGGCCTGGAACTAGCTATATCTTTGTTACCCCACTTCCTGATGGCTCTCCTGTGTGGATAGGGCCTACCACTCTGTTCCTAGCAGGATTATCCAGATCTTGAAGTGGCAGGAGAGGGAAGAGGGGAGTGAGGGAAGAGAGCACTTAGGCTTTAAGCTTTCTTTAATTTCTAGGTTGCAGTGGTTGTATAAATTATAAAGTTTTCCAGGTCAAAATTTTATGATTATGTAATTCTGCAGTTTTGGGGTAAGGGAATCTCACGCTACAGATAATTTAGTTTTCTTGTCATAGATATCAAAAATAACAAGCCACTGTTCCTCACTGAGGATAATAGTGCCTTGGGAAATCATGGAATTAGTGCAGGGAGTTTGCAGATATACTGGCTTAGCTCATTATCTGTAGGCTAGTTATACATTTCCTACTTTTATGTATATATTACTATTTTTAAAAATATGCTTAATAAAATACTATTAAAATTATAGGATTTGTTTGTCATTAATGTTTTCTCAGTCAGTGGACACTGTACTGAGCTGCCTCTTGGAGAGCCATGAAAATTTATATCCTCTAAAAGGGGAGTCTGCACTGAGCCATTTTCATGGGAGGACTCATAACTTGAGTTAGGTGCTGTGGTGTTAGGCACTGCCTGTTTCTCTCCCTCACATAGAGTCAACAAAGATTAAACTCCTACTGAAGGTAGTGTCAGACACTTTACGGTCTTCCCTCTATATCTGGGGCTTCTTCCCCAGAGGCTGCCACTGTTAACAGTTCTTGCATATTTTTCTAGAAAACTTACTGGATCTTTATAAAACATATGTGTGTGTTTTTAAAGCACTTAAAAAATGACTACCAGAGCCCTCCTTGGTGGCGCAGCGGGTTAAAGCACAGCACTGAGAAGCTAAAGCCACCTCAGCATGAGTTCGATCCCCACCCTGGAGGTGACCCACATGGCGCAGCAGATCTCTCCTCACCAGCCCGCTGCTCACCTCGCAGTGTACTTTGTCAGTCGGCCTGTTCTGCTCCTCACTCTGTCTCTGGTAAATCCTCTCACCGCCCCTGCACCTGTGCCCCGGACCCCAGTTCTGTATGCATCAAAAAATAAATCTTTAAAAAAAAAAAAAGAGGCTACCAATATCCCCCAGCAGGACATTTTAAAAAAGATTTATTTATTTATGGAGTGCAGGTCAGAGGTGTGGAGTAGGTGAGAGGATTCACCAAAGATGGAGTGGGGAGCAGAACAGGCAGATTGACTAAAATACACTGCTGAGGGGAGAGCAGGCAGGACAGGAAAGGCACTGCTGTGCCGTGTGGGTAAGCTCCCTGGCTGGGGGTTGAACTCATGCTGCAGTGGCTGGTGATAGCTTCATAGTACTGAGACTTTACCCCTTGCGCCACTAGGGATGTCTCCCCTCCCACCCTGGACATTTTAATAAGAATATCAGTGTTTGCTTTTAATTTTACATTGTAATAAGGTTGTTGGAAAATATTTTCCTGGAGAGTGGAAAATAAAAATGTACCATTCAGATCTTGTTTCCACAGCTGACAGGGAAACCTTTTTCAGGGTGAAGAAGGGGAATATAGTGAAGAGGAAAACTCCAAAGTGGAGCTAAAATCAGAAGCCAATGATGCTGCCAATTCTTCAGCAAAAGAAGAGAAGGGGGAAGAAAAGCCTGACACCAAAGGCACGGTGACTGGAGAGAGACAGAGTGGGGACGGCCAGGTCAGTACCCACTAAAGCCCTTCGTTTTGCAACTGGAGTAGGGATTTCAATTGTGGAGAGAGTGAGGATCCTTTTATCTGCCCTCCAGGAGAGCACTGAGCCTGTGGAAAACAAAGTGGGTAAAAAAGGCCCTAAGCATCTGGATGATGATGAAGATCGGAAGAACCCAGCATACATACCCAGGAAAGGGCTCTTCTTTGAGCATGACCTTCGAGGTCAGACTCAGGAGGAGGAAGTCAGGTAACATTCATTTGCTGCAGCTGCTAGTATTTAGTGCCTGTAGTATGTCAGGCACTTTGCAAGTGCTTTTGCTAATCTTATTTATACTCACAAGTCTAAGGTAGATATTAAGATGATCTCTCTCAAATGAGCAAGAGTAAAGCATAGAATATTTGGTAATTCTTGGTGGAGGAGCTGGGATCCAGACCCATACTTCCACTGTCTCCCTTAATCTGAGACTCAAGGTCTCTGGGTATGAAGTGCTGTCTGTAGGAGAGGGATGCTTCAAAGGTGAGGAGTAGTTTGAAGACTACTTATTTCTATTCCTGTTGCATTTGAGCCCTGAGATGCTTTGACTCACTGTTGCTTTAGGACACCCATTTTGTAAATCTCTTGGAAGATGCAGAGACCACATGAGGTTCCTACTATTTCCCTGCCTGACCCTGTTTGTTTCATGAACACCTTTACTTGGCAGATTTTGCCTGTTGAAAACACCTTTTCTTGGTTTTGTCCAGACCCAAAGGGCGTCAGCGAAAGCTATGGAAAGATGAAGGCCGCTGGGAGCATGACAAATTCAGGGAAGATGAACAGGCTCCAAAGTCCCGACAGGAACTGATTGCTCTTTATGGCTATGATATCCGTTCAGCTCACAATCCTGATGACATTAAACCCCGAAGAATCCGGAAACCCAGGTGAGAAAAGTTTGGAGCTTAAACTGTTCATGTTTAGAAAGAATTCTGCTTGTCTAAATGCCATTCCAGCTTGTAACAGATGGCTGAGGACTATGAAAAGTTTCTCTGACCCTCTAGTGGTCCCTTTTGATGTTTATTTTCCTTAAGACTTTCTCCACTCCATCCAGGTTTGGAAGTCCTCCACAGAGAGATCCCAACTGGACTGGTGAACGGTCAAACAAGTCTCATCGCCATCAGGGTCCTGGGGGCACCCTACCACCTAGGACATTTATCAATAGGAATGCTGCAGGCACTGGTCGCATGTCTGCTCCCAGGAATTACTCTCGTTCTGGGGGCTTCAAGGAAGGGCGTGCTGGTTTTCGGCCTGTAGAGGCTGGTGGGCAGCATGGTAGCCGGTCTGGTGAGACTGTTAAACATGAGGTTAATTATCGGTCACGGCGCCTGGAGCAGACGCCTGTGAGGGATCCGTCTCCAGAAGCAGAGGCTCAAGCACTTGGCAGTCCTGAGAAGGAAGAAGCTGCCTTAGAGATACCAGCTCCTGCTCCTGACATTGTGCCACCAGCCCCTGACCGGCCTGTTGAGAAGAAGTCCTATTCCCGGGCAAGGAGAACCAGAGTCAAAGCTGGAGATGCGGTCAAGGTTGCAGAGGAGGTGCCCCCTCCCCCTGAAGGGCTAACTCCAGCTCCTCCAGTGCCAGAAGCTGCCCCTGCTCCACCGGCTAAGACGGGGAACTGGGAGGCTCCTGTAGATAATACTACAGGTGGACTTGAACAAGATGTGGCACAGCTGAATATAACAGAACAGAACTGGAGTCCCGGGCAGCCTTCATATCTGCAGCCACGTGAACTTCGGGGTAGGCACCTTTTCCCCTTGCTGTGTTGGGTTTAGGGGCAGGGCTGTAATATCTCTCAGGGATCTGACAAGTATCCGTAGTCTTAGTAACTGAGAAAGATGAACTCATGGGTCTGTTCCGAAGACTTTAGAGCAGTTTTGTCTGCCACCCACACTACCCACTACGTGGCTACTGTTAATTGGCAGTAAGCACTCAATGGGATATCCTTTACCAATCTCTGAGAAAAGTAAAAGAAGGCAGTGTTCTTATATGAGCTAATGGTTAAATGTGGAGGCAGAAACTCATTGGACTTGAACAACCAATCTCTTTTTTTTTTTTTTTAAGATTTATTTTTTTATGCATACAGAATTGGGGTACTGGCTAGAGGTGCAGGGGTGGTGAGAGGCTTCACCAGAGACAGAGTGGGGAGCAGAACAGGCAGATTGACAAAGTACACTGCTGAGGGGAGCAGCGGGCGGGTCAGGAGAGGTCTGCCACGCCATGCGGGTCAGCTCCCTGGCCCGGGATCGAACTTGTGCTGCAGTGGCTTCGGAGAGCTTCATAATGTGGTGCTTTAACCCGTTGAGCCACCAGGGAGAGCCCAAACAACCAATCTCTTTGACAGGAAGCCTCTCTGATTTCCTTAATATTCTAGAACCAGACTGCCAGTAAAACTTTCTATAATGATGGTGGTTTGGGGTACCTGTCATGTGACCAGTGACTGAGAAGTTGACCTTTCAGTTTTAATCGGTATTTAAATGGCTGTGTGGCTCGTGGGTATCATACTGCCAGCGTAGTCTAGAGACTAGGACCGACCCCCAGCCCCTGTGCCCATTCTGTTCTCCAACTGGATGGGTCAGAGGATCCTTTCCTTAGATTTTGAAATCTAATTTGAATGTAAAGGTTGGAAATCTTCATTTGGACAGAGTGTGACATCTTTTTTGCCTGCCTCCCCCCCACCCCACCCCTGCCTCTCTGCCCCCAAGATCAAAAATCAGGGTAGCCTAAACTGGACCTGGAATTGATTTGTGGGTGGAGCAGTACACCCTCCTGCTGCCTTCTTATTGCCATTGGAACATAGTGCTTTTTTTGCTTTGAGTCAATTTTAGCCAGAGGAGAATCTTCCCAAACCAGGAATAAGCAGTACATTCACAACTCCCTCTGCCTTCAACAGTTGTCACTTACAAACTTTTGGGCTGAGGTTTTTCAATATTTTTGATAACACGAGGTGCTAATTATAACCTCCCAAGGAGTCTTTACAATGAAATAGTTGGTGGGAAAATTTTGAACTTGGATTTTCTCACTGAGACAATTTTTGTCATAATCAAAAGCTTTATTTCTGTATTAAGGTAGCAGACAGTGTGGACAAATGTCAGAGAAAGGCCAGTCAGTGTTGATAGGAAGTAGAAATATTTTTGTTTTTTAAAATTTTTTGCTATTTATTTATGTATACAAGAACTGGGGTGATCGTTGTCCAGAGACAGAGTGGGGAGCAGAATCAGTGAACTACTGAATGAAGAACAGTGCTGAGGGGAGCAGTCAGCAAGACAGGAGAGGTCTGCTGCTGACATAAAGGTCAGCTCCCTGGCCTGGGGTAGCTGGTAGTGCTGAGACTTCAGCCTCTGCACCATCAGGGAGACCCGAAAGCAGAGATAGTTTAAAAGAAATGTTTTTAGGTTGAAAGTAAAGCATTTGCCATGTTGGAGTCTTCAGCCTGTTATTTTCTTAATGGTGTCACTGAGTCTCACATCAGCCTGCTCTTCAGCCTGGCTCTTCTGATGTATTACAGGTGTGCCCAACCACATACACATGGGAGCTGGCCCTCCACCGCAGTTTAACCGAATGGAAGAAATGGTAAAAAAGGGGAGAAGTGGGGGGCAGCAGATGTAACAGCTTTCTCACTCTTTAAACCAAGATAGGATTTGAAGTCATTGTTCCCTTGTTACCCATGTTTCTTCTTAATTGCATCTCCAGAAACGTAGGGTAGAACATTTAGCTTCAAATCTTGATGTTTTTCATTGTTTTCAACTCATTTTTTGTAAATACTTATTAAACGCCTGCCATGTACCAAGTAAGTGTTTTTGTAGCACCTAGAGGAGGGTAATAAGACTTGGTGTGAGAGCCATCCTCTGGAAGTGCTTTTGCTTAGGCCTCTTTCTTAATTTCAGGGTGTCCAGGGTGGCCGAGCCAAACGCTATTCATCCCAGCGGCAAAGACCTGTGCCAGAGCCCCCTGCTCCCCCCGTGCATATCAGTATCATGGAGGGACATTACTACGACCCATGTGAGTTTTTTCTTATTTTGGGGTACCTTTCTTGGCAGGGTGAAGTGAACCCAGAAGCCGGCCTCCCACTTGAATTTTCCTTTTGGACCCCCTCACAGTATTATGTATTGCCTGGTTGCTGTTTTCTTCGTGGAAAATTGAGAACATCTCTTAGAGGGTCTGGGGGACAAGGAGACTTACCCATATGACACGAGGAGTGAGAGTTTATGAGAGTCCCAATGTGATATCTTACAGTGCAGTTCCAGGGACCAATCTATACCCATGGTGACAGCCCTGCCCCACTGCCTCCTCAGGGCATGATTGTGCAGCCTGAAATGCACCTTCCCCACCCAGGTAAGCGCTGTATCACTGCTTGTGTGCTTCCAGTGCGTGAAGATGTGTGTCTGGGGCTTCAACCCCGTCCTCCTCTGCTCTGTGCCGCTTGCCTCTGAGCTGGCCATCCTGGCTGCTTGGGCACCAGACTCCTCTTGGGTCCATCCTGCGGACTTCCATCCCGAGCCTGTTTGTGCTGAGCAGTCCAGCCAGGCCATTCCATGGAAATGAGTGTTTTCTGTTTCAGTTTTTCTTTTCCTCTCCTTGTCCAGGTTTACATCCTCACCAGACAGCGGCACCTCTGCCCAACCCAGGCCTCTATCCCCCACCCGTGTCCATGTCTCCAGGACAGCCACCACCTCAGCAGTTGCTCGCCCCTACTTACTTTTCTGCTCCAGGCGTCATGAACTTTGGTAATCCTAGTTACCCCTATGCTCCAGGGGCACTGCCTCCCCCACCGCCACCTCATCTGTATCCTAATACGCAGGTGAGCTGGCCACTGGACATCCTTTTCTAGGTGGATGTAACTTTAAATCAGATAGGAATGTGGCGTTGAAAATTGCTCAAGGGATTTTAACAGACTGCTTCAGTGCAACAGATGTTGCACGTAGCGCCAGGATGCCTCTTGGTGGTCAGGAGCTGGAAATGCAGCTTATGTAATGCCCATCATGTGTTTATTCTCTTCACTCTCTTACAATGTTTTGTTCCAATGTTTTGGTACTTTGGTGGCTGTGTTGCTGTTTATTTACCTGCCCGAGACTGTTCTACCTGTCAGCCCTCGTACTGCTGGGCTGACACCATCTGCTGGCTGGAGTGTCACCACTAAACTCAGCCTCTGCTTTTGAAAAGTAGAAACTAGAACATAAGCAGGCTTTTTTGTAAAAATTTACTTATTTATGATACAGAACTGAGGTATAGGCCAGTGGTGCAGGGGTGGTGAGAGGATTCATCAGTGACAGTGGGGAGCAGAACAGGCACATGGACAAAGTATACTGCCAAGGAGAGCGGCCTGGGGCCAGATAGGTCTGCTGTGCCACGTGGCGCTGAAGCAGCTGTAGCTAGTTTTGCAGTGCTGTGCCTCAATCCGTTGCACCACTAGGGAGGGCCCAAGTAGGCTATCTTAAGGCAGATTTGCGTAATTAAAGTGCGAGCAACTTAAGAGATTTAAAACATTATCAGTTCCCCAGTACTTTTATCTTTGTGATGGGATGATGTTTCTAGTCTTTCATGGCTTGGATGAATTGATCCCTGGCATTTTTCTTTGATGCAGGCCCCATCCCAGGTGTATGGAGGCGTGACTTACTATAACCCCGCGCAGCAGCAGGTGCAGCCAAAGCCCTCCCCGCCTCGGAGGACCCCCCAGCCAGTCAGCATCAAGCCCCCACCACCTGAGGTAAGAGAACCTGCCCTGCTGAGGCCACTTCCGGTGGTAGTGGACTTTCCTTTTCCCCAAAGAATTTTCCTCCTGGGCATGTTTCTGTGGAACACAGTCTTTTTATTTATTTTTTTAATAACCTGGTAACTAATCCCAACTTTCCTGTTTCAGGTTGTAAGCAGGGGTTCCAGTTAATATGAGCTTCTGACTATTTTAAACCTATCATAAGAAAGTAAGTGCACAGTTTCTGTGACTCTTCATAACATTCTTGAAACTTGTAAACAAATTTGTCTAACCAATCCTTTAAGTTGTCATTATGGGACATCTTGGAGGGAAGCTTTGAGGTGTCCTTAGACTTGCCAGTTTCTTTGTTTTGCAAGTGCATTGAGCAGTATTGTAGTAGAAACTTGTTGACTTGGCAGAATTTCATTTAGGGAACTACAAGGAAAAAATACTGAAGTGTGTTCTTTATCAAGGAAAAGGGGAAATCTGAGTTTGAAGTGTGAAACAGAGCCAATTCTGAATGGCATGGGAAAAGACCCGCAGGTGTTTGGTTTTTAGGTATTTATAAAACATGTTAGTAAGAAATGTGATTTTTGGGGGGGAGGGAAATGATTTATAAATGCTTGGGAATCTACCAACAGTCAGGTAGCTCTTCTCTGCCCCTCCACTGTCCAAACAGCAGAGATGAGACCCGGGAGAGAAGAGGCATACATCTGGCTGTCTGCTGCCGGGAGGCCTTCCACGAGACAGGGTGACTCCTGCTGAGGAAGGACACCTCCCGCCTTCCTCTGAGGACAGGCTCTGTCGGAGAAAGGGAGACAAGTGGACTTCTGCCGTCTCCACTCTTCACTTGAGTCGGCTGTGCTCAGAGACGCAAGATTGGGCAGCCCAGGCTTCTGAGTCCACCTTCAGAAGCCCGTGTCTTTGTTCTTCACTTTTTCCTGGGAAATGTAAATACCTACTGCTCTCGGGAAACTTCTTCCTGTATGTTTTGTTTTCTAAAATGTTCGTTTTTAAAGCCTGGCTTGCTGTTTTTAAATTAACATTATTTTAGTTTCTATTTTCTTTCTGTGTCTCATTAAATGAGACAAGTTCATTTTTCTCGTTTGCTCACTCCTCTGGATTCCCTTCTGGCTCTTCCCTGCATCCCAGGTATTGGCAGTGTACCAGCCAGTGTTCCCCCTCCATGCCGACAAAGAGCTGACCTTGTGTTTGGTTGGCCTTTGCTATTGTATATTTGGATTCTATTAATTCCTCTAACCTTATGGAAACAGCTGTCTGCAGAGTCCTGTTGTGGAGAAAAGCCCAAGTATGTGGTAAAAACCCTTCTTGACTCGAGTTTTTAGGCGTCTGAGCCACCAGCACCCCTGTACCCTGGCATACTTCAGTCCTCTACTGACGGAAAACTGGAGAGAAAGGCAAACCAGATCCTTTAGTGAGAGAGGGAGGGCAGAATGAGAGCTTTTGCACCTTAGGTGCATTTATTCACACAGTCGGTCAGGCTTGGTCTTGGAGGTAAGTGGAGTTAGAGGCTGCGCTGCTTTTTCCACCCCTCCTGCCACACCCCTTTCCAGTCGCTGTGGACCAATGCATCTCTATGAGACAAATATCATCCAGCAAGCAGTTTGCTTTGTCCTTGGAATTACTCTTCTCCACATCTTCTGCAACTCTTTTAGATGTTACTACCTTCTTTCCCCCAGTTCCTGTCCTTGGAAACAGAGGGTACCACACCTAGGCTTGCACTTAAGGAAGTCAGCCACTTTCAGATCAAGGACTCCTCCCTCTTCCCCATCCATGGCATCCACTCCCCCGCTGCCTCTACGGAAGAGATACTTGCATCTGCGGGGGTAACTTGGCCACTGTTCTGGCCCTTAGAGAACCTGAGGGAGAAGGTGGTAGCTGTGTCTCTTCCCACCGAAATGTCACTATTTTGTTCTCTCTGGCAGCTGGCCTAAGCACTCAGTCACAGGTGGGGTGGGAGGGAGAGAGGCGCTCACTGTAACCCCCAAGCAGGAAATAAGAGATTTTTCCAGGGGTAGTGGTAGTTGTGCCTTTTGTAGGCTGCTCCCTTTGCCTTAAACCCGAAGATGTCGCCGCCAGCCTGTGGGCAGCATGCCCAGATTCCCAGACCTTAAGACACTGTGACAGTTGTCTCTCTTGGTCCGCTGCGTTTGTTGCAAGAATTTTTCCATGCGTGTTGTCTTTGTTACTGTTTTTAAGAGGTGCACACTTGTGATCGGCATTGTGACTTGGAGATAATAAAATTTAGACTGTAAACTTGACTCCTTTGCCAGTGTTTCGCGTGAAGCTTGACTTGGGAGGGAGGGGAAAGGATACCTTGGTTTTTTCAGTTATACAATCACAACTCAGGCAGGCTAAGGTTGTGAGATGGAAGTGCAGAGAGGTGAGAAGCCCACAGGCCCTAAGTGCATCTGCACTCGCTCTCAGCTGTCTTCACATCTAGGTTGTCAACAGACGCCTGACTCTTAGATGCCAGGTCTCAGGGACAAAAACTAGTGAGATGCTACACAGGTGGACATTTTGTGCCCCTTATGCCTACCTTTGTGTTTGGCAGGTATTTCCCATGGTAATCAAACATCAGTATAACTACCAGGTCCTGGGCGAAGAGGCAGCCGGGTAGCTGGGCTTGAAAAATAGACACTGGCACCGAAGTGTCAAGGGTTACAGGCTCTAGCAATCTTGGTAGACAAGTAAGCAGATGAAGCAATGAAAAGACAACAGAGGTTTGTGCTGCCAGCTACCTGGGCCACTTGGCCTCCAATGAGCACAGGGCAGTCCTGGCTTTGACCTGATTACTGCTGCCTCTGGGTTCTGGCTGGGACAGAAGTTCACTACTGAGCCTATACCAAGCTGGAGAACAATTGAATTTAGTGTGAGCTGGGAGCATCTGCCCTTGGGTCACATAAATCTTTGACCACTAGGGGCATAAGCAGTAAGGTGCATCTTAAAATGACACTAGGGACTCCCCCAAAATACCTTGGTGCAACTGCTGCAGCTGAAAGACTGGCTCCTTGTCGCTCACTAATTCGCTTCAGATCCTGTTGGCTTCCCTTCTTCCTCACCGTGTGGACGGGTAACTATGGACCTGGGCTAAGGTCATGCAAAGAATGTTAACCAGCCTTGGGGCTGGGCTACTGGCTGGAGGAATAAGCGGGTTAAGATGCTTGCCCCTCACCCTGCCTCTTGCTTCCCCAGTCCTGCAGTTAGAAACCATTGCTCTCTCTGTTGCCCTGGTAACCGACTCAGCAAGGAGAGACTCAAGCTCAGCAAAGGCCCTAGGTTCTCTTTGCCCTCCCAGCCTGCTCAGTGGGCAGAAAGGAGGGGAACGTAAGGGATAGACTGTTAGCGTTAGGTAACCCTGCATAGTCCCCTTCTAGAAGTTCATGGGCTGGATGTTCAGTTAAAGCTTTCTGCTCCAGTCTCATTCGCGCTACCCTCTCCATTTCTTCTATGATACAGCAAACTGCCCTGTGAATTCTATCTCTCAGGATTGGCATATACCTGCTACAATTCTACCTGCTACTTTGTGAGGGCAAGTCAAAACTGCAAGTACAGATTGCCAAAGTCATGTCTCAGCACCTGCAACCCACTTGGCTAGGGATGTCACTCTGAAGCAGTGATTCTCAACCCTGGCTATTTGAATCACGTGTGGGTCTTCAAAAAGTCACGAACTTAAAGAGCCCAATCTCAGATCTGGTTTAATTGATATGGGTGTGGTCTGGGCATCAGTATTTTTTAAAAGTTCCCCTGGTGTCAGGAAGTGCAGTCAAGGTGGAAACCATGGCTATTCTAAGAGGGCCATGATTCCATACTGGCCTTCCTCTGACTTTGAACCTCAAAGTTGGAGGGGTGCTGGGGTTCTCTCCAAGCTTCCAGTTTCCAGAAGTCTCTCTGTTCTTATTTCCAGTCCCCACACCCTCCACACTCCCCAATTCTTTCCCCTTCCTAACTGACAATCCCAAATCCTGCCCAGAGAGGAGGTTACCAAGGCAACCAGCTTAATCTGGTAACGGTGGCATGTGCTGGGAGTGGGGCCCTCCCTTCTTCCCATTTGGTTCAGAAACTGCCTGGGAAGCTCCAAGTCACTCCAACCAGTTTCCCTTCTTAACCCCTGGTATATTGGGGTAGCCAGAAAAAGGAGCCCTAGAGCCTGATATTTGAATCTTTAGATAAACTTCTTAGCCAAAATTGGCATCTCTCTTTTTTAATGTTCTGTCTCCAAATTCACAGATGGCTATGCAAAGCTTTATTTTTCTGAACACATGCTTGAGCACACTTAGGAACAGATACACACACAGCAATACATGTGTAGTACAAGCCCTGATCTGTTCTACCACCACTTCCAGCTTTTAGCTTTCCTGTCCCTGGCACATACACAGTAAACAGCGGTGGGACATAATCCAAGGAGCCTTGACCCATCTAAAACCCAGTGACACTCCCACACTTGGGTACCTTAACCTTAATGTGCTTACAGTGAGCATCTCTGTACCCTCCTCCTCCAGGGGCAGCCTACTCCTAGGGACAGAATACTCCTGGCATAGGAATCAGCAATGAGGATTTTTGGCTGTGTAAACTCTGGGGTGGGGGTGGGGATGCTCTGTGCCTGATGGTTTGGGCTGCCAAGTCTGGAGCTCATCACCCATCTCCCCTGAGCCCTGCTTCCTCCTGCTACCAGCTGGGTGTAAGCGCCCTTGTGTTTCTGGTCTCCCCACTGCCTACTGTCTCCTCCTCACCCCAAGTAGACCTGCCACAACCTGCTGCTCCCTGCCTGGCTTCTACCTGCCTGCCAGTACCTGCCTCTCACAGGCCAGGCCCTCACCACCAATTGTGCCCTACCAGAAAGGGCAGACGGGTACCGCCCCCAGCACCAATGCCAATCCACCCAAGAGGCCTTCCCAGTCGTCACAGAAGGAAGATAAAGGCCACATGTTCCTATGAATATGGCAACAGAGCACACTATCGGGGTTCAGAGTGATGAACACGCGGTCAGCAGCCTATGCCGGTCTCACCTGGATACAGGTAGGTGGGTCCGGGCCAGCCACAGGCCAGCCCTGGTTCTCAGAAACGATACCAAGAGTCGGTGACTCCGGGAAGCGCTGGCCGTTGGTAAGCCACACCCCCGCCCCTACCCTTAGTTCCTGCGTCTCCTCCGAGCCCACTCCCACTCCCACTCAGTCGCTGACACTCGCGGTCAGCGGGCGCCCAAGTTCAAGCCTCGCGCGGTCCAGGGGGCGGGCCCAGAAAGGGCGGGGGCGGGGACTGGGCGGGGCCTAGAGAGGGGGCGCGGTCTCGCGCTGCCACCTTCCCCCCCACCCCCTGCCAGGAGCGCAGCCGCCGCTGCCGCCGCCGCGTCTTCTCAGCTGCGCTCCGCCCGCTGCCTCTGCCGCCGCAGCCCGGCCCAGGAGCGCAGAGCCGGGGGCCCCGGCCCCGCAGCCTACCCACCCTCGGGCCGCGCGCCGGCTGCGGCCGGCATGGGGGGCTACTGAGAGCCGGCACTCCTTCCCTCTGGCACCTCCCCCGGACACCGGCCCCTGGACTCCCGCCAGCGAGCCTCGGGCACCTCTGGCCCCCAGTCCGGCGCCTGGCACGGCCCTCGGCTCTGCCCCTCCGGCTCCGAGCATCGTGTCTCCGCCCCCCCCGCCCGCGCCCGGGACACCTGGGTTCCCCGGCGTCCCCGAAGAGAGGGGCGGGGGGGGAGGGGGGCATGAAGCCGCTGGAGAAATTTTTGAAGAAGCAGACGTCGCAGCTGGCGGGGCGAACGGTGGCGGGAGGTCCCGGCGGGGGTCCGGGGAGCTGCGGCGGCCCTGGAGGGGGTGGGGGGCCCGGCGGGGGCGGCGGTCCAGCTGGGGGACCGCGGCCGCTGCAGCGGCGTCAGAGCGTGTCTCGCTTGCTGCTCCCAGCTTTCCTCCGGGAGCCCCTCGCCGAGCCGGGGCTGGAGCCACCCCCAGAAGAGGAAGGGGAAGAGTCCGCGGGGGTCGCCGAGGAGCTCGGCAGCGGGGGCCCCTGCTGGCTGCAGCTAGAGGAGGTGTCCGGGCCCGGGCCGCTCGGGGGTGGGGGGCCCCTGCGCTCTCCATCCTCGTACTCCTCCGACGAGCTGTCCCCGGGCGAGCCCCTGACTTCGCCGCCCTGGGCCCCCCTGGGCGTCCCGGAGCGGCCGGAGCATCTTCTGAACCGGGTTCTGGAGCGCCTGGCCGGAGGGGCCACCAGGGACAGCGCCGACTCAGGTAAGGAGTGGGCTGGCTCCTCCTTTCTGGAGTGGCCGGGTCACCACCTGGTTCCTCTTCCTGGCCTGCCGGTGGAGGGTGGGGGCAGCGCCATCAGGGCCTGGGTTGGGGTGGGCCGTCAACTGAAGCAGGTAGGGGTCTAGCCAAGGCACTGACCCTTCTGCAGGAGAGAAGCCACAGTGCTCACCTTCCACCGCGGCAGCCTCCCCGGGCTGGACCAGAGGCTAACCTCATTCTCTCCTCAAGCCGCCTGGCCTTTCCCCTGGCCCTTTTATCCACAGACTCCCATGGCTCCTGATGTTGCTACCTCCTTCTGTGGCCTCCAATTAGGGTCTGACACACTAAGATGGAAGCTGCCCAGAGCAGCCTGTGCCATCTCCCAGAGGGGTCCAAGCCCTGAAAGACCTTCCAGCAGTCCCCCCATTCCATTTAGAAGCTGCGGAGCACAGGGATGGCCCACTCAGCAGGGCAGTGCCAGACAGCACAAGGCCCAGGCTGCCTTTTGGGCCTGGGCAAAGGGATGCATTGTCCTTAGCAGCTGGGGTGAAGGGAGGCGCTCTAGGTGTCTGTTGGGGGAGAGGTGCTGGGCAGACAGCTGGGGGGCCTGCAGCATCCAGGGGTCTCGTCTCTTCAACTCCCGCCCTTCCGGGTGGCGGGCCTCTGCGCACAGCCTCCTTACAAAATAATAACCACACCCTGAGAGGCTTACTCCCTAAACGATGATGCTATTTCACCACTCCCACCAGCACCCCTACTAAGGGGGTTTTGAAGAACTGAGCCCCCAAATTACCAGTGAGTGGCTGAGGTAGAGGACCTTCGGGCCTTTGGGGTCGCCCTTGGCATTTCACTGAGCGCAGCAGGGTTTGAGATTGGGAGCTCTGACTGAGAGCCCAAAATGGGGGTTTCACAGTTGGTTTTCAGACCTCTGCAAGGAACCCTAACTTAGATGTAATGAATGGGGCTCTACTCCCCTAGATTCTTCTCAAGACCTGGGTCTTCTCCTTGGCCCAGGCTGTAGTTGCCCTGGGGAGCTGACACCTTTTGGATTTAATTAGAAAAATATCAGACACACACAGCTCTCCTAACCATAATTTCCCGCCCACACCACACACCCTGTGTCTCTATGACACATTCCCCGGGGAGGCTGTGCGTTGGACCAGCGCCTGCTTGGCAGAGCAGACACCAAACTGTAGCCCCCTCCAGCATCCCCCCACCCTCAGCCCCAGGTCCTTCCATTGCTCTGACTTGGTTTGTCTATGAGGCCAAGAGTTTACAAACCTGTTGTTTGTACAAATTCCTAGTCCCCATCTCTGGGCCTGGACCTATGCGGGAAGGGGGGGAGCCTCAGACTCACTGTAAGAATATGGCAGGGTGATGGGTAGAGAGAGAGCCGGAGAAGCAGCTGTCCGTTCCCGCCCCCAGAGAGACCTGGTGCCACAGACTCTGCTCAGGCTCCCCTGGGGAAGGATTCCAGGATTGATTGTCACCCCTATTCTCTGCCTGGCAGGCTGGAGCCCCAGACTAACTGGTTTGGGGAACCCTGCCTCAAACCAGTCCCAGTGTGAATGGGAATGCCACCCTGACATTCTCCAGTATAACCAATGTTGTCAAACCATCTTGGTCTCCTCCCACGGTGTGTGGCAGGCGGGAACTCACCCGAGTCTCTCAAATCTCTAAACAGCCCGGTCTGACCACTGGGCTCTACCCTGACACTGTTTGCTTGGCATGTTCAGAGCAGAACAAAGACTCAGGAGGCTAGGTTCCTTTTCCAACTTCAGGGAAGCCCCTCCCAGCTCTGGGCCTCAGTTTCTCTTTTGTGAAGTGAAATGGTTGGAAGTCAAGCCTAGGTCTAGTGTTGCTTCCCGGCCTCCTCTGTGCAAGCCAGGGGATGGCGCGCCAGGGACTCTCAGAAGCCTTGGCTTTGTCCTGCAGCAGTGCCGGGGGGGCCTGGCCCTAACCTGTCCTGGTGAAGACACCTGGCTCCCTCCCTGTGCCCTGCCTGTCTGTGTGTGCCAGGCTGCCCTGCCCCACCCCAGGGCTGGCTGCAAGTCAGGGCGACCTTGTACTTGGCTGACTGGCTGAGCCAGGCCCAGATGGGGGTGTGGAGGGGCAGGGGTGATGAGAGGAGCCACTCCCCTCCATTCTTCCATCATTAACCCTTCCTTCTCTGGGCACCCAGAGGCCACAGTGTGCTTCTATTTAAAGGCTTTGGGATCAAAGAGACTGCGGTTGCTCCCTCTCCCTTTTAATAAGGCCGGTTCTCACCTGCCTAGTCAGAACTCAAAGCTGTTAGGGAACGAGGGGGAAGGTCAGACACACACACACCTGGCCCCAACTTCTGGGTTTGGAAGTTCACTTGATCTGGAGACACTTCTGGGCCCTTTTTGGGGGGCAGATTTCAAGCTTGACGTATTATCTGATCAGCTTCCTACACACACTGAAGCGAAAGTGGGCGTGGTGGTGGCAGGGTGCCCCCTCCTTCCCTCCAGCTGCCTTGGCAGCTGCCAACCCCACCCCCGCAGCGGCTGCCCAGAACCTTCACACATGTGTGTGTGTGTGTGCAGAGCATGACGGGGCAGGTGGCCGGGGCTCCCACCCAGCTGAAGAGAACTCACCCTCAGAGGCAAGAGTGGGGGTTGGTGGGTGTCCAGTGGGATCTGGAGTGCTGCCGGGCAGCAGTGGCACCAATTCGTCTCTACAGATATCCTGCTGGATGACATCGTCCTCACCCATTCTCTCTTCCTCCCCACGGAGAAATTCCTGCAGGAGCTACACCAGTAATATCCTTTTGAGGAACTTGGAAAGTGGGGGAGGGAGGGAGCCACACACCCACCCACCATGATGTCAGGGCCTAAGCTCTCCCCTGGAAAACGCACTCAGCTGCTGGGTGGCCATGGGCAGGTCACTGAAACTCCCGGGACCTAGTTTCTTCTACTCTAGAACGGGGGTGAAGAACACCTGGCTGACTATCTCCAGGGCTGGGGCGCACAACCTGATAGCAGATGTGGGAGTGCTTTAGAGATTACAGAGCCCTGGACAAACACAAGGCGTCATTATTCTATTAAGAGCGCCTCTCTGCCTGCTGAGTTATTGCTCTAAACATCTGGTTGCCCAGTGAGTTATTACAGGGTCTGATTGGAAACGTCAGGTTGTGGCTGTGGGTTAGCAGGGCGGCTGGAGACCAGCCCCCAGCTGGACTGGTCACTGTGAGCCTGTGAGCATAGAGCCCTCACTGAGTTATTCCAGGACGTGGTCATAAACGTCAGGTCACTGTGTAGACCACCACAGGCGCTCTTGGCAACCCCGGACATTACACTCAAGTGCGGTCAGGTTTGTGCTAACACCATCGACCTTTATCAGCCCCCAGTGAGCTCCAGGTTGGGTTGGCCTGCAGGCAGGAGCTGGAAGGCAGCTCCAACCCTCTGAGCAAAAACTAGGCTGGAGCATAAGGAGATCTTGGCTCCAAGGACTCCTGGATCTCTTTCCTCCCCGGCTCCAAACCTAGACACAATTTGGGGGTGGTTCCCCCCCCATTTCCCTTCCTGGTCTGCCCAGGGCTTTTTCTTAACTTGGGGGTCAGCTTTGTTTGGGCAGGAGGTGTGGAGGGCCCTGAGGGGCTGGGCCGGAAGCAGGCCTGTCTAGCCATGTTGCTTCATTTCTTGGATACCTACCAGGGGCTGCTGCAGGAGGAAGAGGGGGCCGGCCGCATCATCAAGGTGGGCTTGGAACAGGAGGTGGATGAGAGTTCTGGAAAGGGGCCCTCTTTGAAGGAGCCATCTTCTCGTGCTGGGTACCTGGACGAAGCTGCCCTTGGGCCTTGGCTTGAATGTCTCTTCCGTGCTCAGTGGCAGGGGCACCTTTCCCTAGCCCCTGTGGGAGTGAGCGAATGAGCCGGAATGAGACTCCTCCCCTCACCCTCTTTCTCCTCTGCGCCCCAGGAGCTGTACCTGCTGATTATGAAGGATGAGTCTCTTTACCAGGACCTCCGAGAGGAAACACTGAGGCTGCACCAGCTTGTGGAAACCGTGGAGCTAAAGTGAGGGGAATGGGGTGGCGGATGGGACAGGGAAGACGTCCCCACTCCCCTGTCCCTAGACTACAGGGCCTGCACCAATAGGGTTTCATTTTAGTCCCTTCTCGTACAAGAGAGTAGCACACAGCATGGTTTCCGGTCATATTTTGGCCCATTCCCCATCCATGTATTCATCCACCCAGCCAGCACTTCAGGAGAGAGAGCCCTGGTTGGTCACTTTTGCTGAGTCCCATGGTATAAATTCGCTCACGGTGGCTGCTTTCAAGTTACCAACATGACATCTCTGAGTGTGGCATTGGGAGGAGACGCAGAGTAAGGAGCGGGCATTTTATAGAATTGGCACCAGCGAATACAATAGAGGCAAACGACCTGAAGAGCATAGGTAAGAGTGAAAACAGCTAGGAAACTACTGTTTTGATACTGATTTGGCTGTAAGTCTATTTTACATCCTATATGTTTATTTTATATATCATATATGCTTACACACACACATACACTCAATGGCTGTGTTTAAAATTCAGTTGGCAGAATCCCCCCAAATCTAACAATCTTCGTGAGTAATGCGAGCAGGTTTCAGAACACCACCACCACCTCCCTCCATCCCGCTGGCCCTTGGGTTTCTCTCTGCTCCGTCCCCACCATTAGCGTCTTCAGTTCTCACTTGCTCTAGCTTGGCTTAATGCCACAGCCCCTGCGCAGGGCATCAGCTTCCGGTCTTGTTTTCTCTCCCTTCTTACGCAGAGGAGAGAGCGCTCTCCAACCTGACAACATCAGGCTTCTTTTCCAAAACACGCACAGCTCCGGGCACCTGCCACCCTTGCACAAGATGTGAAACGTGTCCCTTCCTGCCTGCCCTGATCCTTCGCACCTCACCACTCACATCCCCCTGCACCCACAACACCCATGTGCACCCTTCCATTCGCTGCACCTGGCGCCAGCTGCCACCTTTCTGCTGCGGTTTATATGGCCCACGATGCCCTCCGCCAGCCGCTTCTCCTCCCGTGTCCTTCAGGGCCCAGGCCGAGGCCGAGGCCATCTCCCCTGTCATCCTGTAGGAGCCCCCGCCTCTCGCCCTCACAGCACCCCTCTGCGTCCGCCTCTGCGTTGCCACCCAACACCTCCTGCTTGGTGTGAGCAGCAGCTGCACACACGTCTCTCTCCTGACTGTCAGGTCTTTGTCAGCACATTTCAGCAAGCAGCTGATGACCTGCGCCTGGCCTGTGCCAAGCAGTGTGCTCGGCCTAGGGGATGAAAAAGAATTCAGCAAAAATAACCCCAGCCTTCAAATGCTGTCCATTTTGTGCGGTCCTACAGCTGATGAGGCAAAAAAAAAGTGGCCTTTCCTGGTGGATGGGGTGGATCAGAGAAGAATTCCTGGAAGAGGGGACATTTGGTTTGGACATTTGTCCCACGCTGGTCCTTGTCCTTTCTCCTGACCCCCTTTGCCTCTCTGAACCCGGTGCCAGAGCATCCTGACCCAGTTCTATCCCCACTTGACACTGCCTGCCTGGCACTCCGGTACCTGGCAGAGCTTCCTGATGCCCGGCTGTGTCCCTGCCAGGATCCCAGAGGAGAGCCAGCCGCCCAGCAAGCAGGTGAAACCACTCTTCCGCCACTTCCGCCGGATAGACTCCTGCCTACAGACCAGAGTGGCCTTCCGGGGCTCTGATGAGAGTGAGTGTGGGCATTAGGAGGAGCGGCTCAGGCATCCTGTGGGGTCTCTGGCCTTGTGTGGTAGAACCAGTCCTTTCCACAGTATCTTTTTAAGAAACTAGCCAACTTAGGGCTGGGCTGAGTGAGGTGGGGAAGAGAGGTACATAGTGGGGACTGTGCTAGAGCTGCCAGCCCCCTGCTGAGAAGTCACCTCCCTGTCTCTCTCTAGTCTTCTGCCGGGTCTACATGCCTGACCACTCATACGTGACCATCCGCAGCCGTCTCTCAGCATCTGTCCAGGACATTCTGGGCTCTGTGACGGAGAAACTGCAGTACTCTGAGGAGCCTGCGGGGCGTGAGGAGTCCCTCATCCTGGTAGCTGTGGCCTCCTCAGGAGGTGAGGGTCAGGAAGAGCCAGGCTGGGGCGCCAGGAAAGGAGGAACTCAAGCCCGGGGCCTTAGGGCAGGGGTGGAGGCCCTGGGCCCTGGCTGCTTAAAGTGCTGTTCTGCATGAGCATCACCTGGGAGCTTGTTAACATTGCAGCCTACCTCCCCCAGCCCACACCTACTGAACCCCAGTGTGTGTTTGAATAAGACTCCCCGACCCTACCCCCTCCCCGGGATTCCCTTGCTCTGTAAAGTTTGGAAGCACTGGTCAGGGCACTTGGTCATGGGTGTGGGTGTTAGATTCTTACTTGGGATCTTGTCCTAGCTCTGCAACTCCTTTGAAGACATAAGGAAGTTGTGTTTTTGAGGTTAAAGAAAGAGGTTTGACCTCCAAACCCTATGAACAGGTAGCAAACCTGCAAAGTAGCCAAAGTCTTAGCTTCCTCTAAGATGGAGAGAACATTCCTGCTTTTCCAGTATCGCAGGGATGCTAAAATGAGAGAGGAGAGTTGTGAAAGAATGTTGGGGGTAAAAAGAAATTAAATGTGGGGAGAAAACAAAATCATTATTTGAACATTTTCAGAGATAGGGGGCATAGGCGTGTTCATTTGAGTCCCATGGTCTAAACTGTGTGTGTCCAGGGGCAGGATTCGGGGCAGGTGGGGGCCGTGGCTGGGGCTGGGCAAGCACCTCCTTCTCCTGCAGAGAAGGTCCTTCTCCAGCCCACTGAAGACTGTGTCTTCACCACGCTGGGCATCAACAGCCACCTGTTTGCCTGCACCCGGGACAGCTACGAGGCTCTGGTAAGAACTCCTTCCTGAGCCCTTGGCGGCGCCCGAGAGGGGCTGGGAGCAGAAGCTTCCAGGCCCAGGGTGGAGCCCAGCCCTGTGTCCTTGTGTGCCTCCAGGTGCCCCTCCCTGAGGAGATCCAGGTCTCCCCGGGAGACACAGAGATCCATCGCGTGGAGCCGGAGGACGTGGCCAACCATCTCACCGCCTTCCACTGGGAGCTGTTCCGATGTGTGCACGAGGTGGGGATTGAGAGGAGCAGGCACTGGGGGGGAGGGTTGGGGGGGGGTCTGGAGCCAGAAGTGCCCTAGGGGTACCTGGAGGGAGATAGTGCCTGCAGCTGTGCTACTGGTTAGTGCCGCTGGTGCTCACTGTGGTCCTTAGGCAATGCAGGCCTCCCCGAGCCCAGAGTGCCTGCAGAGCAGGTCAGGCCAAGTGCTGCAGCCCCAGAACCTGCCTCATCCTTAGACAGTGTTTAAAAAAATATTCACTCTTGGGCCCTCCCTGGTGGCGCAGCAGGTTAAAGCGCAGCACTAAGAAGCTAAAGCCACTGCAGCATGAGTTCGATCCCTGCCCTAAAGGTGACCCACATGGCGCGGCAGACCTCTCTTGACCTGTCCGCTGCTCCCCTCAGAAGTGTACTTCGTCGATCTGCCTGTTCTGCTCCCCACTCTGTCTCTGGTGAATCCTCTCACTGGCCCCGCACTCTGGCCTGTACCCCAGTTCTGTGTGCATAAATAAATAAATCTTTAAAAAAAAATTCACTCTTAAGTAAGGAGACAGCGACCATGTCTAGCAGATGGTTGGCTTGAGGACTGGTGGCCTTTAGCAAGTGCCTGACACCTAGTGAATTCTCAATGGATGGTAGAATATTATTCATGTCGTCTCTTCCCGCCCCCCCCCCATCTCTGCTGCATCCTGTCCCGGGCTCTTCCCACTTTCCACCACTCCTGCCCCTCCGCCCGCCCTCCTGCCTTGTCCTGGCTCCTCTCGGTCTTGCACTGCCTTCCCTGCTCATCCTGCCTGCCGCCGGCCGGCCACCCCACGCAGCTGGAGTTCGTGGACTACGTGTTCCACGGGGAGCGCGGCCGCCGGGAGACCGCCAACCTGGAGCTGCTGCTGCAGCGCTGCAGCGAGGTCACGCACTGGGTGGCCACCGAGGTGCTGCTCTGTGAGGCTCCTGGCAAGCGCTCGCAGCTGCTCAAGAAGTTCATCAAGATCGCGGCCATGTGAGTGCGGCCCGCGGAGTGGGAGACGAGGCCCGTGGCCCCGAGTGCCCGCTGACCCCGCTCCCACCCCCGCAGCTGCAAGCAGAACCAGGACCTGCTGTCCTTCTACGCGGTGGTCATGGGGCTGGACAACGCCGCGGTCAGCCGCCTGCGGCTCACCTGGGAGGTGATGAGACCCCTGTCCTCTCCTCCCCGCCCACCTCCGAGATCTTGGCCTCCAGCCTCTGTCTGGTTATCGGGGCTCACCCCAGTGCACTGGGACTGCCTCTGGGAAGTCCTTGTGGCCATTGAGAGGCGCCTTCTTCCGGCAGATGCTGGCTGGGGGCGCTGGCTGGGGCAGATTATAGAAGGGTGCACCCCTGCTGGAGGGGAGCAGGCAGTGCCCCCAGGCTACATGCTTGGTGCTTGGATTTCAGCCCTCACTCTGGGAGGCTCCTTCGCCACCAGGCATGTATACGCAGATGCCTGGACTTCCCCAGAATAATACATTCCCCCAGGGCTGCTTCAAGTTCCCCAGACCTCTCCAAGGTCTCAGTCTACTTCCCCACCCATCAGCTTACCTACTCCCTGCAAAACACAGGCCCTTTCCCCACTAACACCTGGGGATGAGTCAGGGCTCTCCTGAAACCCTAAGAGTTCCGCACTCACCTGCCTTCTTTCTTCAAACTCTACAGAAGCTGCCGGGGAAATTCAAGAACTTGTTCCGCAAATTTGAGAACCTGACGGTAAGTGGGTTTGGCTGTTTTACCTGCCCCTGCACTTAAACTTCAGAGCTCTCTGTTCCTATAAACCTTCCTCAAGCTTCAAGGTTTGTAGTGCCTGACACCCCCTGGCCCCCAACTCTGCTCACAGGGTAGGGTGGAGGCGTGCTACCCTCTTTTTCCCTGGAGCAGAGACAGGGCAGTCAAGCCCCCACCCAGCTAGACACCCATCACACCCCTACCTGATCAGAGCTGGATCCGCCGGAGAGGAGGGGGAGCAGGGTGGGCACTTGCTGGTACACTAGGCCTGCCTTTATCCCTTTACCCCTCGTCTGTCCCTATCTTTACCCCTCTTCTGTTGGATGCTAGGACCCCTGCAGAAACCACAAAAGCTATCGAGAAGTGATCTCCAAGATGAAACCCCCAGTGATTCCTTTCGTGCCTCTGATCCTCAAAGGTGAGATGTGCCCTTTCCCGCACATCTCCATGCCCACTTCTGACTCTGGATGCCCACCTGGAGACTGAGTGGGCTCTGGGGGCAGGGTCTGGGGTGCAGCTGCCCTCTGCTCTTACTCTGTCCTTACATTTGATTCCCTCCCCATCCCTAGACCTGACCTTCCTGCACGAGGGGAGTAAGACCCTTGTAGATGGTTTGGTGAACATCGAGAAGCTGGTAAGTGGCACTGCCAACCCCCCGTCCTGTGAATGCCAGCCCCCACTCCTGGCACCTCCACGAGAGAACAGCCTTCCTCCACGGTGCCCAGCTTGTCTAACAGACTCCTGACTATCTCCCTGGTGGCATCACTGTGGCAACCCGCCCACGGTGGCAAAGCTGACAGGCAGCTCTGGGGCAACTCTCCCTCCCACTGTGGGGCCACCTTGTTACACCCCCTCTTTGGTCCTTCAGAGACCCTCTGGCGTTGGGGACTGGGAGAGTAAAACCGACAGCGAGGGGGGGCAGCAGAGGGCATCTTCCTCTGCCCTTCCCAAGGCTCATTCCTTATTATCTTCCAGCATTCAGTGGCGGAAAAAGTGAGGACAGTCCGCAAGTACCGGAGCCGGCCCCTGTGTGAGTACCTGGGGCCTCAGAGCATCGCAGGTAGAGCGAGGCGGGGTGGAGGACCTGGGGAGAAGGCCCTGCTGAAGCGCTTGTGCCTTGAAACCTGTCAGTTCTCCACTCTCTCCTCGGCCCCCTGCCCAGCACCTGTCGGCCTTCTCTGGCTTGTGGGTGTGTAGAGGAGAGGGGAGATTGGGGACCTGACAGGAGCTCTGCTCCGTCCTCCCCCCAGGCCTGGAGATGGAGGCGTCCCCCCATCACCTGCAGACCAAGGCCTATGTGCGCCAGTTCCAGGTCATCGACAACCAGAACCTCCTCTTCGAACTCTCCTACAAGCTGGAGGCTAACAGTCAGTGAGAGTAGGGGTTCCAGTGGGCCCCCGCCGGGGCCCCCAGCACCTGGCACTCAAGCACTTTGCACCCCGTCCCAACCCTCAGCTGGCCTCTTACCCCGGAGCTGTTTCCGCCCACAGGGAAGACTCGGAGGGACTTACCCTGAACTTTGTCCATTCTGCTGAGTCCTCTCCCCTCTTCTTTCAAGCCGAAACCACCACTGATTCTGATTCCTGCCCTTGCAGGGAGGCGGGCAGAGAGCTCCTTGCTCTGTCCCCTCCACTGGAGGTCTGGTCCAGAGCTGGCGCTTCCAGCTGCTACTTCCCATGCAGGAAGGGGAGCTGGGCCTCTCTCCTCTGCAGGATGGGTCGGCAGCCATCCTCTCCACCACCTGCCTGGCCCCCCTCGTCAGGGCTGGGGTCCCTGGCAGTACCCCCGGCGTCTGTGTGCACTTGCGCACCCCTTGTAAGGAGCGAGTGGCCTGCAATGAGGGAGGGCGTTGTGTGCTGTGTGTGTGGGTCCCTCTGTTTGGTGCTACCCTTATCTTCTCAGCCCCCGGACAGTTTCGGGTGCTTTCCCCACCCCCACCCTCCCCGCTCAGCTCCTCTGGCTGCCCAGCCTGCCCAGGCTTGTGGGTGAACTGCAGGGGCAGGTGGGCAGGGATTACCCATCAGCCCTTGGGAGCAGGCTCGAGGGGGCTCTGACGAGGGTAGAAGATGCTCAGGGAAACACAGGCCTAAGCTGCCTATAGGACCCTCCCTCTGTGGTGCAGTGGGGTGGGGGTGGCGGTATCAGGAGTTAGGGTGGCCTGCTGCCCACATTCCTGCTTTTAGGTGTCTCACTGCTGAGAAGGGAATTGTCATTCCTTCTGGCTCTGGTGTCTGACACCAAGCACATGGTCTCAATCCCTCTCCCTGTCTTGACTCCCACTTTATCCTCCTAATCAGAGCCGGGGTGAGGTGAATCCCTGGGCCTGGGGCATACAGCCCCCAATAGAGGGGGTGAGGGAACAGCAGAGACTGTAAAGGCAGAACTGGACTCTGGTGATGCCTTTGTTACCGCTCTGTCTCCCCTTCCTCTCCCACCCCAGGCCTCCAGGACCGAGGGGTGCAGGGGGCTCCTGGCAGCTAGTGGGTGAGGCTTCCTGAAGCAGCCTCCCCTCCTTTCTGGAACCACCTCTTTCCCTTCTGAAGAGGTAGCAGCAGCAGCGAAGGCAGCTGCCGCTCCTGCTCTAGGGTGTAAATATTTTTTACCAAAAGCTCTGGAATTGTAAATTTATTTTTTAAATCTCACAGAGGGAAAGAACCTTGTATCATATGTAAAGATTGTATCATAGGTTATGTTGTACAGTCCCTTTTATACAGCGGTTTGTCTTGTTCCTGCCGCAAAAACTGGACTCCCCTTTACACACACAGGTGCCATGTCCCCACCCTTCCTCCCTACAGATGGCCTCCAAGTCCCCCTCTTGCTCCCTGCTTTTTCCTTGCAACTGCTAATGCACTCATTTCTCCCCCCAATTACCCTACCTTTCTTCGTGACCCCTCACTCCAGCTCCCACAATCCTCCTCTGACTCTGGTGTCCACTGTCCAGTCTGGGTTGCTGCCCATCCCTAGCCTTGACGCCTGCCCTGCTGCCTCCTGGGCAGCCCTGGGCCCCTCCCTGCACCCTCCAGCTTTAACAGAGTGAACCCTGTGTATTGTACAGGCTCGCTTGTCATTGCCAAAACCACTGGGTGGAGGAAAAGCTGATAAAGTCTATGAATCAACACACCTGCTGTCTGCCTCTCTGTTTCTTGGAGGCTGGGGAAGGGCTGCACTCAGGGCCCTCAGCGGTGACTTTGGAAATGTGATGAGAGGGAGAGGTGCCAGCCTTATAAGACAGGCTCCAGGGTGCCTCGAACTTGGAAGAGTAAATGATTTCATTCTTGCGTGTTCCAGGTGCCATAGGACGTGACCTGGGAGGTGGTAGATGGAGGCTGGGAAGTCCCAGCCTGAAGTCCAAGGTGCAGGGCGAGCCAGGGGCAGGACTGGCACTTTCATCCAGCTCTGTCTGATGCAGGCAGTTTTACTATTCACGCGGCCAGCACTCATCAGTTGTACCAAGGGGGGGGGGCCTCTGGCGCCTCACGTCAGCTCTAAGAGTCTAAGAGTCTAAGCTCCAAGAGCCATCATCTACTCAGACAGCTCAGAGGCCTGGACCTCCCCTTGTTCCACCATGCCATTTCCCCAGTCGGCAGCTCAGAAAGTGTCCTCTTACCCACCCAGGTACTATTCAAGAGCATATCCAGGTCTGGTCTGCTTTTCTGTAATTCTCTATTACCTACCCCAAAGTATGTTCATGTCTTCCTGGAAGACTACACTAGCCTCCAGCTGGCTTTTGGCTTCCACTCAAACCTTCCTTCTCTCTTACCCCCATCCTGTTCGGTGCTCCACATTGTTGTAGCCAGGGTGCAGCTTGAGAAACATGGCTAACATTAAAAAGTGGCAGGACCAAGCATCGGTGAAGATGTAGAACAACCAGAGCTTTTATACATTGCTGTAAGTGGGTGCAACTACTTTGGAAAACTGCCAGTGTCAGCTAAAAAGGATCCAAGGGAAATTAGTGCTCATGTTCATCAAAAGACAGGTAGATACAAGCGATCATAGCTGTCTTATTCATGATAAAGAAATTAAAAGAAACCCAGGGGTCCTCCCTGGTGGCGCAATGGGTTGAAGCTCAGCACTGCGAAGCTGGCCTCAGTGTGAGTTTGATCCTTGCCCCAGGAGTGACTCATATGGCACAGCAGACCTTTCCTGTCTCGCCCGCTGCTCCCGTTGGCAGTAGACTTCATCAGTCTGCCTGTTCTGATCCCTACTCTGACTCTGGTGAACCCTCTCACCACTCTTGCACCTCTGCCCTGTACCCCAGTTCTGTATAAATAAATAAATCTTAAAAAAAAAAAAGTTGGAAGATATCCAAGTATACTTTTTAAAGTTTTATTTAAAAATGCATACAAGAACTGGGGTACAGGCCGGAGGTGTAGGGGGTTGAGAGGATTCACCAGAGACAGAGTGGGGAGCAGAATAGGCAGATCTTCAAAGTACACTGCTGAGGGGAGCAGGGGGCAGGTCAGGAGAGGTCTGCTGCATCATGTGGGTCACTCCCTGGCCAGGGATCGAACTCATGCTGCAATGGTTGTGAATAGCTTCATAGTGCTGTGCTTTAACCCCTTGTGTCACCAGGGAGGCCCCAAGTATCTTTCAACATGTGAGTGGACAGATCAATAGTGGAATAACCCATAATAGTGAAGGACTAGCCCTATCACCTGCACGAGAGGCTCTCATAGACATAACATGATGAGTAGAAGAGCCAGACACTTAAGACTACATATTAAATGATTCAGTCTAAGAGAAGTTCAAGAACAGGCAAAATGAATCTAGTAAAGTAATTGAAGGAAAAGAATGATTACTTGGGGCTGGGGGTGGGGAAGAGCACTGACTGGGAAGGGTGAGAGAAACAGTTCTGTCTTGATCTGGGGTGGGGGTGTTCATCTCCCACCCCATCTCCTAGCCCCTGTCCTCACTCCATTCCACTGCTTTACCATTTCCAAAGCACAGAATCCTCATTCTTGTCTCAGGGATTTGCTCTTTGCTCATGTTCCTGACCACTCTGGTGACAAAACCGCACCCCACGCATTGCATATAAGAGCTGGGGTACTGGCCAGAAGTGTGGGGGTGGAGAGGATTCACCAGGGACAGAGTGGGGAGCAGAACAGGCAGATGGACTGAAATATACTGTGGAGGGGAGTGGTGGGGGGCACAGGAGAGGTCTGCTGCATCATGTGGGCCAGCTCCCTGGCCGGGATCAAACTCAGGCTGCAGTGGTGATAGCCCTGACTTGACCCCTAGGCCACAGGGAGTCCCTGCCACCCCCTTCCGGTCCCCCCTCTCCCTGTACTGCCTCCAAGGCATTCATCAGTACCTGACATCATGTATACTTTATATATTTGCTTCTTTGCATTCCCCCATGGCAATGGTAGCTTCTTCATGTGTGTGACTCGTTCATTATCCAGCACCTAGAAGAGTACCTGACACAGAAAAGACACTCAATACGTATTTATTAAATGAATAAATTAGGTTGGTTGAAATTAGAGCTGTAAGACAGGGATAGGGCACAAGATGATCAGTGCCCAAGGGATGAAACCGAGGAGGTGCATACTGGTCTGGAGAAGGAGGGTGGGGGACAATTCAAGGAACGTTCTTTGAAGAGATAACCTGGGTCTCCAACCAGGCTTAGGGTTTGAGGACCAGAGTGTGAATATGAGAAGCTGGGGTGGGACACTGAGCAGCGTGCCAAGCACTGGGAACTGCCCAGCCCTGTTGAACTGGTCGAGGGGAGCTGAAATTATAGAAGCTGGACTGGGGTTCTGATCTTGACAAAGAGTGCTGGTGACACTGTCAAGGAGTGTGTGTCCTGGGGCAGGAGCCAGGGGGCCAACCCTTGTCATTCCTGCCCTCTCCCAGAAGGGCAGAGGATGTGGTATGGCTCTTCTTCCCGCTGCCCTCACAGCACCGTCAGGCCAGCTGCATTTTCAGGGCATGTCCTTTGTACTCACAATCCTCGACTTCAATCTTCCCAACAAGCCCAGGAGGTTGGTTCACTGAACTCCCTTTTCTAGATAAGAATTGAGGTCATGAGAGAGTTCTCAGCAGAGGCACAGAGAGGCCAGTTTCTAGTCCTAGGTGTCCAGCAAGGATCTGAGCTGTTACTTTTACTCCAGAGTCCACCATTTAAGCTCTACATAATCCCGGGGATTTTTTTTTTAAAGATTTATTAGTTATGCATAAAGAATTGGGGTACAAGCCAGAGTTGCGGGGAGGGAGGGCGGTGAGAGGATTCACCAGAGACAGAGTGGGGAGCAGAACAGGCAGACTGATGAAGTACACTGCTGAGGGGAGCAGAGGTCTGCTGTGCCATGTGGGTCCACTGGGGGGCCAGGTATCAAACTCCCACTGAAGAGGCTGCGACTGGCTTGCAGTGCTGTGTTTTAACTCACTGCGCCAGCAGGGAGGGCCAATCCTAGGGATTTGAGTAGCTGAAGAAACTTCACCTTGTGCTCACTGGGCTTCAGCTGTCAGCTGGCTGTAATGGGAAGACTATCTTTTCCAGCTCTTTCCTACACGCCTCTTGTGTTCTGCCTCTCTGGGATGAGTAGGCAAAGGACGTGAGAAGTGGTCAGAGGCCTTGGGCTCTTTGGGAAGAAGATGAGCTTACCTCGTAGCGCTGTGCTTTGTAGGCTGGCCTAGCAATGAGCAAAAGGGTGAAAATTATCTGGAGGGGTTAGAAGACCAGCATCCCCTCTTACCTGGATGGATGAGAGAAGAATGGAAGCAATTTCCTTTTAGACCACTAGGTGTCGCCACTAAGATGAGGCACTCACCACCTTGGAGTAAGAGGAGGGATGGGACTGGGTGTGTGGGGGAAGGGGTGGGGGGGGGATCATATCTTGGCGGTGTCCTGAATCTCTCAGAGAATCGATCGCAGACATAAATAGACATTTCACTAGAATACCTTGTATCTTTCATTCTTTGTCTACTGGCCCTTCCCCAGTTAGCATTTAAATGGTCTCAAAACTTTTTAAACCCCTTTTCTTTGACTCTACCAGCCTGCTTAGCTACTGTTCCTTCTTGTGCCTCTTCAGTTCATAGCTAATTTTTTTTGAAGGGTATGTTTTCACTTATTGGCTCTACTTCTTGAGATCTCATTCGTTTCTGTTTTATTTTGTCTTATTTCCTCACCTTTTCATCATGAAAAATTTCAAACACAGTATAGTTGAAAGATGTGTACAATGGGCACTCTTAACCTTTCTAGATTCTGCAGTCCTTTTAAAGATTTTATTTATGCATACAAAAGCTGGGGTGTAGGCCAGAGGTGTGTGGGTGTGTGTGAAAGAGAGGACTCACCATAGACAGAGTGGGGAGCAGAATAGACAGATGTGCTGAATTACACTGCTGAGGGGCGCAGTGGGCGGGACAGGCGGGGTCCCCTGTGCCCTAAGGTCAGCTCCTCCATGTGGACACACTCTCATCTTGATCTAGTGTGACCTCATCTTAATAATTAAATTCCACGAAAGTCAAATTCTGAGTTTCCAGGTGGATGTAGACTTGGGGGAGATACTAATCAACCCACAAAGTCCTTTGCCCATGACTTATGTTTAATATTTGCATGGTTTTTAGACTTTATATATTGCCCTTCTAGCATTAGTGTTCGGCAACTTCAACATCACGCTTGTAAGATTCATCCCGGCCGATATGTATAACTCTAAAAAGAAATGTGTAATTCTAGTGTGTTTGGTTTTGTTGCTCTGTTTCCCTTTCATTTTATAACCCAGTGCAACTGGCTTCCATCCTCACTATGCACTGAAACTGTTCTTTTCAATGTCATTGACATGCATGTTGCCAAATCCAAAGGACAATTATCTTATTGCTTCTCTCTCTGGTATCGCCTTGATATTTCGACTGTTCTTCCTTCTTGAGTACTCATCACCCCTCCCAGGACACTGGTCTGTCTGCCTTGCTGTCTCACTCAGCTTGATCTTTGCACGTGGAGCTCCTTGGCTCCGTCCTGCCTCTTCTCTTCCCTCTGTGCACCCAGGCTTAGATAGCTTTCATCAACATATTTCTTTTGGGGGGTTTATTGCTGCATAACAAGCTATTCAAATGTAGTGTATTTTTTCTTTTTT